TTTTTATAAGTTATTTATTCTTTTATTTTTTTTTTAAGTCAGAGTCTCACTAAGTTGCCCTTGAATTTCCTCTGTAGCCCAGGAAGGCTTTGAACTTGCCATTATCACCCTCAGGAGTATCTGAGCTTACAATCTAGGCCAGCAGGCCCAGCTCACAGGCTCAACTCAAAGTCTGATTGAGTCTGACGCTCGGCTCAAGGCGGGCACAGAGCTGAAAGGGCATCCACTGTGGGAGCTCCCAGCTGACCTGCTTCTAATTAACAATACCTGCATCGCAGAGAGAGCCCTTGTGGCTTCAGGTGCCGGGACAGGCTGAAGAGGGAGAACAAGCTCCCTTCGGAGGGAGAGGCTGACTCGCACTGAGAGCAAAGCGAGGGAAGAACGAGCGTGTGCAGTGAGTCATCCTGAGGCGAGCAGGTGGCAGGAGGCTACCTTGAGTGGAAATGTCCTCCCAAGCAGCTCCCACGGGCGGCTGCACCCACAGGGAGGCGGGGTGCTTGTTCACCGTAGCTGAGTTCTTTCCAGGGTCCGACCCAACAGGTCTTATTTTCTCTCGCATGCTGTTAAGCCAGATCTGAGCATTTAAGGACTCGAGGGAACCCTGATCTGCAAATATTTGCCTGCCTCCAGCGGCTCCCACCCGCTCCCCAGGAGGCCAGTTAAGACTCCCTCCTTGGGGACAGCTGGCATCGTGACAGTGGGACTCCTGAATTCCAGAGGCTACACAGACGTGGGACTTCACTCCCAGCTGCCAGTCAGGCGGCTAGGGGGCCGGATCAGCCAGCCTGGTGGCATTACCTGCCCCTTCTTGTGGAATGATGTGTGTAAACACACATGCTCACACCCCACAAATGTTTCAAAGCCCCTGGCCGTTCAGAATCTGCCTAATAGCCCCTTGCACCTTTGAAGGACTCTTGAGTAGAAAATTCAAGAAGGACCTGGGTGACAGTGGGGACGAGGTAGAAAAGGGACAGCCCAAGCCCACCTGCCCAACAGCTTCCCAGGGGAGCAGCTTGTCCCCAGACCTTAGGAGGATAGATAGAGAGGGACACGAACTCCTCCCCGGATGATGGCAATGTGGGTAGCAGGAGCCAGCGCCCTGCTGTGTCCGCTATCATTCAGGATGCTCACACTTCCCAACCTGCCTACACCAGCCTGCCCCTCACATTGTGGTTCCTCCACTTGGAGACCCCTCGCCACCCCTCCTTGCCCGGGCTACACTGCACCTGCCGCACATTAGTTATCAGGCCCAAGGAGCAATGGCACGGTAACCAGGTGGCCTGGGATGGCACTAACCCGCTGTGTGGTCTTGAGAACAATGCTGCTCTTCTCTGTGCCTCATCTTGGCATGTGTAGACGAGGGACAATACTTTTACCCACACCTCCTAGAGATGCAGTGGGAATCGATGGAGTCACATTCGGGCTATTTAGGGGCTAAGGGTCAGCCTGTCTTGCCTCTGTCCTAAGCAGGTAGTTTCCAAGCCTATGCTGCACTCAGAGGCTGGACAAGGCTGTGAGGAGAATAGATAGAAACACACACACACACACACACACACACACACACACACACACACACATACACACAGCCTTCGAATGCCAGGCCCCGAGCCCAGTATACCACAGGGGATCAAGACATTCAGGGTTTCCAGATGCCAAGGGCCCTGGGCTCTCTTCTTGTGCAGAAGACACAAGCCCAGAGTTGTTTGGTGCCTACAGCTGAGTCACACAGCAGCGAAGGGACATATCAGACCATAACACCCTCTGCTTCCCAATGGCCCTCCCACCGTGAGTCTCACTGCCAGGGGCTTCCAGCCCTGCAAAAGTCATGCAACAAAGCCATGTGCTCTGAGCTGCTTGTAGGCAAAGAACGGGGGGGGAGGGGGGGAGAGGAGAGGAGAGGAAGGGAAGAAAATAGAACAGAGCAGCAGAGCTGAAACATTCTCCTTGGAGGGAAGGGGAAATCAAATTTGATGAACCTCTGCATAATGTTAAGTTATGAATGTGCAAAGTGATATTCCGCACATATGCCGGGAAGCACTCATGGCGGGCCTGAGCAGTCTCGGGCTGCGGGAACCCGGGTTTGATGAGAAGCTGCTGCCTGGGTGAGGTGTGCGCTGCTGAGCTGCTCCTTTGGCTGTGGCGCGGGGTGCAGTTTCCCCAGGCGGATCGGAGCAACGCGTCACAAACAGTTGCGGTGCTAATGGGGCACTAGGGCTTAGGGTCGTACACCAGGGCTGTAAGCCCTGAGCACTGCCCTCCTCAGGTCCTGGCTACTGATGCCCGGTGTGGGCCAAGCTCCTGGCCGTGCTGGGAATGAACAGCCTCCTCCCTGCCAGGATGCTGTGTCTGCAGATAAGGAGGCTGGAGCTAAAGACCAAGCAGGAGGGAGGCAGCATTCGGGCCTCCCAAGGACCCCCAGACCACCAGGGAAGCACCTACTAGGTTTCTGGCACGACCCTGGAGTCGTGGGGTGCCATAAGTGGCACCGGGTAATAGTAGCCCCAGCATAGCTAAGTGGTGCACACATGCAGAAAGGTGACCAGGAAGAGGGGTGAGCTAGTGTGTATCCCAGAGGGAGCACTACAAGTTCAAAGCCCCAGGATAGGGAAGTCTCAGAGTGCCTGTGGGAGAAGGGATGAAGCAGGGGAAAAGACCAAGTCAGAGAAAGATGTGGAGTAGTCAGAGAGGGGGCCCTTCCTCCACTCCGTGCAGCATACACATACTGCCTCTGCCTGGAAGAGTCTCCAGGCCCAGTCTTCTCTCTGGTCCTCCACATATCCTGAGGGTGTGCCCCTGGGGCACATTCTCCACCACACACTCAACACCCAAGGACAGGGTCCAGGGCTCATCTGGAAGGTGGTTTCAAGAATCACAGGAGAGGAGAAGGGAGACAAGGAAGGAGGAAGGGATCAGGAAAGGTGTGTTCGTGGGCACAGGGTTTGGGTTCCACTGAGCGCAAGCTCATTGCAGTGTCTCCTCTGGGTAGGAGGCCCAGGCCTTCAGCCACCACTTATGTCAGCTTCCTGGACATTGTAGCAAGCACCATGCTTTCGAGAAGACTGACTCCTGAGTGGGATGGAGCCCTTACTCTGAAAGCTCCCTCAACCTGCAGTAAGGACCCCCCCCCCCCCCCCCCCCACACACACACACTGCCTGTAGCACTGGGCAGATATGCGCATGGTTTCAGGACACCTGTGTAGACACAAGCAGGTGCCTGGGGTTGCTGATGACTGTGTTTCTTCCTACTGAGTGGCCAGATCCTCGGGGACATGGCCGGATCTGAAAAGGTCCAGACTGAGCTGCACAGACCTGGGCCCATTTCCTTCCCACTGTGCAGGTTTAAATAAGTGTCTTCACATCTCTGGGTCTCATTTTTCTCATCTATCAAAGGAAGCTAATGGAGCTCACTGGGAGGTCATGAGCGTACTGTTAGATGCCTAGACGCATGACCTGGCACAGCTACGTGAGACAACCAGAGCAGCTGGCTCTGTCTAGGTTTCCACTCAGGGGGAGGTGGCCTAGGCTGTGGGAGAGTAGTCGTGCCTACATGAGACCCTGGGTTCCATCCCCGGCACTGGGAAACACTGAGAGTGGAGACCCAGGCCCAGAATCCCACTGTGTAGGAGCTCAGGCCAGATGAGCTGTGTGTGACCAGGATGTGAGGCACCTCTGCTCTGGCCTGCGCTGCCATCAGCTACCGCTGGCCCAGGAGGTGGACAGAATTCTGAGGGCAGCAGTGGCTGGTTGGAACTGCTTCCCGGGCATGCAGGAGAACAGCACTTTCCGGAAGAGATTCCAGCATTCAAGGCTGGGCAGGGTGGCCTTAGATTGTAGCTAGCCCACAGGAGTGACTTTTTATGGAGTTAGGAAATAAGAGGAAAGAACAAGGTGAACTCAGGACCACTAAACAGAGACTGGACAGAGCACGGACCAAATCCCAGGGTGCCCCCAGCTGAGGCTCTGAGGGCCTTCAGAAGAATAGTTGAGAGGAGTTCTGACTAAAGGGGTCTCCAGCTTTTAAAATCCTGGCATCCATTCTCTCTGCATCTCCCTGCCTCTCCTGTCATGTATTCCTCCCTCTATGAATCTATCCTTTTAACTCACCTACCCATTTGCCTATCTACTCACCTACCTGACTCTCCATCCACTCACCCATCATCCACTAGTCCAATCGCTCAATTATCCATCTACTCATCCAACAATGCACCTATCCATCTATCTATCCATCTATCAGCTCCCTTGTATGCCCACCCACCCATTCACTCATCTGTCCATATACTCATTCATCCGTCTTTCTGCAACCTAGCCATCTACTCATTCACTTACTTATCCAGATTCTAACCATTCAACTCACCATCTATCCATTCAGGGACTCAGCTATCATCCATCCATGCATCCATCCGTTATCCATCTGTCCATCCATCTATCCATCCATCCATCCATCCATCCATCCATCCATTATCCATCTGTCCATCCATCTATCCATCCATCCATCCATCCACTTATCCATCTAGCTTCCCACACACTATTTATTGCCACCTGCCTTGTTCTCAGATCACTTCTGAAGACATAGGTGATTAGGTTTTATCCCTTACCTTGAGAAGTCACCAACTTTTGGTGGCTCTCACCAACCCTACTTGATCCTTTCAATGGCCCCATTACAGGGCTCATGCAGGAAGGCACAGTTAAAGCCTTTTTTGTTTTTTAATTGATTACAGCTGAAGTAGTCTGGGGCTGAATGGCCACCGCTCACATGTTGTTCCTTTTTGAGCTTCCCATAATCTGGTCACATAAGTCCTAAGCAATCTTGTGCCCACAAAACATTTGTTGCTCCCCAAACCTAAAAGTCCATACTCCATCTTACCCAGCTTGTTCCAGTTCCAAAATCACCTCAGTCAGATTATCTGCTCCAGTCTTGAATGGGGTCTTTAGGTTACTGAGATCAGGCCCTGGGCTTCAAATTGCTAGCATTGGCTAGAGGTGACCCTGTATGCACTGACCTCTCCCGGAAGTATTTGATGGCCTCAGGGTCTATGAAGGTCGGCTCCTCCCCGTAGCCCTGCTCAAAGACCTTGCGCTTGTGCCGGAACTCAATGACTGTCTTGGTGTAGGAGTTGAGCGTAGTGACAGACGCCGCCATGCAGCAGGTAAACGAACCCCAGGCCAAGCTGCCAAGAGACCAAGAAAGAGATGCCACAATGAGGGTGAGCAGAGACAAGGAGCCTCACCCGCACACCATTTGTCTACCTAGTTCAGCTGCAGGCCCTGAGGCTTGGTTACCACCCCACTTTGATCTGGGAGAATGACAGTGATCTTCGCATTGTGACAAAGACGCGTTACTCAGCCATTACTCTAAGAGCAAGGAGAGAGATAATTCGGGACAGTTATCCAGGATACAGTGATGACCGTCCTGGTCCTGGGAAGAGGAAGAAGTCCTGGCCGGAGGGCGTCCTAGGAGGAGGGAACGGTACATGCAAAGCTATGGAGGCGTGAGGTAGTAGAGTTCGTGGACACACTGTGGGAGGCAGGGCTGCTGGCGTGGGGATGCCTGAAGATACTGACGTTGATGCTGGAGAAGGAGGTGGGCATGTTTAGCATGAGGGTTACAGTGACCTTTGCTCTGGTATACCCCTGGACAATATACTTGACCTCTGTGCCATGCGCTCCTCACGTCCAGACTTGTGGACAGCATGGTTGTTGCAGGAATTAAAGGAGGTGACCCTTGAACTACACCAGGCTGGTGGCTGACACGTGAAGGTGCTCAGGACAGGCTCACTGTCATTACGGCCATCCCCCCCCCCCCCACACAGGCATTCTTATTCCCGATTCTTTATAATTCAGTCCGCAAGCTCTGCCTCTGGGAGACGAAGTTCCCATGTCCCGCTTGGCTGTCTACTCTGTATCTTTTCTCCTGTAGCTGGGCTGCTTGGTTGCCCCACCTGAGATGAGTGTACTGAACTTACCCAACGCCAGATCCAGTTCTAGAAATGGCCTCCTACCCAATTCCTCCTCTCATCTGGATTGCACACTCACGTTTAGAGCCAGGCGTGGGGAACCCACCTGGCTCCACTCCCACTGGCCTGATTTTCATCCCGGCTGCTGATCTCTGCTGATCTCATTTTATGGGCTCATCTCTGCTCTCCCAGCACCGAAGTACTGGAGAGCTCCGGGCTTCCATCTGCCAGCAGCCTACCTGTAGGGCTCCGAATACCACCACTCCTAGCCACCCCGCTAGCAGGGCAGCCCTGCCTCCCCCCTGACAACAGCCTCAGTGAACCTCAGAAGGAAAGTAAAGGAAAAGTCTGTGGATTCGGCCCTTCCCAAATGGATCTTCAATAATCACCTATTTCCGCCCATGCCTAACCCACTAATAGGTTCCTCACATCTTTTGGAGCTAATTTAGTTCTTCTAGAAGCCTGGAGTGTCTGTAATAGACATTTTTAAGGTGTCAGCCTCTCTAAGGACTTCCTGCCCATTAAAGTGTTTAATGTGTTTTACACACACACACACACACACACACACACACACACACACACACACAGAAAGAGAGAGAGAGATGACAGAGAGAAAAGAGAGACTGTAAATAACTGTGGCCAAAGCTGACCCAATCAAGTGCTCTCCTGAGCAATGGAACGGCAATGCCAGATTAGTCTGGGATGTCTCCTGGCAGAAGCTTGAAAGCTGAGGTGGAAGAATAAAGAAGCAAGCTTGTTTGGAGACTTTCGGGGTGTGTTAGTTTGGCCTGCCCAGCACCCATTCCCTTTTCTGACAACAGTGCCTGCCTCCTCTCAGGCCACATAGTTTGAGTGGATCTGGCCTGCCTTCAGCCTCTAGGGGTGAGCACCTGACTAGGCCTTAGGGATGGGCCCACAACCTGGGTCTGGGTCAGGAGACACCATCTCGGAACTTTGACTGGAGCAGTGGAGAGCAACCCATGTCTCTCCTGGGCTGCTGAGCTGGTGAGGTGTCTGCCAGAAACTGCTGGGGACCATCTTGTCACCACCGAATCTGATGCTTAAGTTGGCCCAGGAGAAAGCAGAGGCATCAAGGAGCTGGCACCATTGTCCTTGAATCCTTCACTTGTGGGAACCCACATCCTTTCCTTTGGATTTTTTTCCCCATCGGCCATTTCGTATTGGCTTTCTGCCACTAGCAGAAGTTTTTATTTAGTTATCTATGTAAACACCTTCTTTCTCATTAGTTAGTTCAGTTTTGAGGTGAATTTTTGTTCCTTACAGCAAGAAATATTAGCTTTAACTATGCCTTCATTCCCCCCGCCTCATTGGTCCCAGCCAAAAGGTAAAGAAGAAAATCTCCAGGAAGAGATATGAGCAAAGCAAAAAGGCTGAGGGGATGGTGCCTAAGCCATAGGGATGAAGCGTGGGCCATGGGGATTATCCTGGGTAGTTTATTGTCAGCTTGTCAGAAGTTAGAGTTATCTGAGAAGAGAGAACCACAACTAAGAAAATGCCTCTATAAGACCATCACGGAGGCAAGCCTGTGGGTGCATTTTCTTAATTGTTGGTTGACAGGTGGCTGCAAATGGCATAAGCAAGAAGGCTGAGCAGTCCCTGGGGAGTGAGCCAGTAAGCAGCACTCCATCATGGCTTCTTCTTTAGTTTCTGCCTCCAGCTCCAGCCCTGTTTGAGCTCATGTCCTGACTTCTCTTAGTGATGAACCATTACCTGGAAGAGTAAGATGGAATAAACTCTTTCCTTCCAATTCGCTCTTGGTCGTAGTGTTTTATCATAGAAATTCAAGCTTAACCAAGACAGGGAGGATCCAAAGCTATAGGGTAGGAGCCTAGGGTGTAAGGATGAAGCCAAAGCTATAGCGATGGAGTGTAATGTATAAGGATGGAGCCAAGGCTGTAGGAATGGAGTCTAGGAGGTAGGGATGGAGCAGAGGCAGACAGAAACTTCTGGGCAGGCACAAACAAGGCATGTATACCACATCCACGCCCCATCCGCTGTTCATTTAGGACATCCATTCAAAGAAGGTACTGCCCTGAGCTAGCTCAGCGTTGTATGCTCCAGCCACTACCCAACCCCCTTTGTTTTCAAAACACCAAAGCCCCTGTCCCACCCTACCTCTCCCCCCCCGGGGGCCCGGGACTCTACTGTCTACACTTTTTCCAGGCTTCCAGCTCGGCTGTTTACTTCTCACCTCCAGCATCACCTCCTCAGCCCCCACTCACCATCTCCAATGAGCCTCGGTCCTCATCACACCCTCTAATTTTCTTGGAACCTTTCGCCCTCTTTAGTTTTAAATTAGTTAAAATTTTGAGATACTTATAAATTCAAATGAAGCTATGGTACACACGGAGAGATGGGAAGAGTTGTACCGTCCTTAGCCAGTTTCCATCAGTTACAACACTACAGTATCAGGACCAAGGTACTCATAGTCACAGTCGAACAACAGGGCACAGCGGACCCCTCCCGTCGCCACTTCAGAGCCACATCAGCTTTCTTCCTGCCCTCCTCTAGTCCTTGGCAACCACAAGTCTTCTGTTCTTCATTTCTAGAATCTTGAAATTTCCAGAATTTGATATAGGTGGAATCTTAGGGCTTGCATATCTGGTCTGGCTTTCTTAACTTACCAGTCCTCCAGGGACTGGTTGTATCAAGTTGTTTTTTTCTTGTGTTGCTGAGATGTGTGTGTCTCCACACCCCACCAGCATTTGACTGGGTCAGTATTTGCTATGTTAGCTGGTCTGAGAGACATGAAGTTCTAGCTCATTGCAGCTTTAATGTGCTTTTTCCTGACGGCTAAAGGTGTTGAACTTTTCATTTGCTCGTTTGCGATCTGTGTACCTCCTCGACAGTTCACTTTCTAATGGGGGGGGGGAATCTTGTTGCTCTTGCTGTCCTGTTCGTTTTCAGAGTCCAGTTCTTTTTCAGAGTCCAGTTCTTTAGAGGTACTAGATAGCTTAGTTGTTTCTCTGTTGCTGTGATGAAACGCCACGACCAGAGGCAACACAAGGAAGAGAGAGCTTACTTTGGTTTACAGTTCCAGGGGGTTAAGAGTCTACCATGGCAGGATGAGGGCATGGCAGCCAGCAGCAGGCCTAGAGGCAGGCGCAAGAAGCTGAGAGCTCATATCCTCAACCATAAGCACAAAGCAGAGAGAGGAACTGGGAACAGGAGGTAGGGTGGGGCTACAGGACCTCAAAGCCTGCCCTCAGTGATGTAGCCTCTAGCAGGCTGCACCACCTTAGTCCCCAAACAGCACCGCCAACTGGGGACCAGGTGTTCAAATACCTGAGCCTATGGGGGGCATTTCTCTTTCAAACACCACATCAGATGTTAGCCCTTTGTCGGATGTTTGGTTTAAAGACACTCTTAGAGTGTCGTAACATGCCTTGCCAGTCTCTTAATAGGTGATACACAGAACAAAAGTGTTTAACATTGATGAAATCTGACTGATTGATTCTTTTTCCTTTTATGCTTTTGATGTGAAATCTAAAAACGTTTGCTGAGCCTTCGTTCTCAAAGGTTTTCCTCCTATATTTCTCTAAAAGTTTTATAATTTTACATCTTATGCTTAGGCCTGTGATCTGTTTTAATGCAGAATTTAGGTGACGGTTGCTTTTCTGTTAGCTCCAGCACCATTTGGAAAAGTTTGTCCTCACTCCACTGAACTGATTATCTCCTTTGTCAACAGTTAGGTGGGTATTTGTTTATTTGTTTGAGTCTGCTGGGGTTCCTTTTTTCTGTCCCATTGATGGATGTGTCTACCTGCCCTGCTCACACTGATATCAGTCTGGGTTACTGAAGCTATATGAGGTAGACTGAGTCACACTACTTTCTCCTTCTTTAAAAATATTCTTAGCTATTCTGCTTTTTTGCATTTCCATCTACATTTATAATATCCTGTCTACATGTATAAGTTGTAGCCAGTGTTTTTATACCTTGTGGGTTCTTCTTTTCTTCCATCTTCTCCACTCCTTTTCTTCCACCTTTTCAACCCCTTAACAGTAGATAGGAATGCAAAAAGGAAAGGAAAGGGGGAGACGTTATCTTTAGACTACTTCCTGTTGGGAGATGGTTTTGTGCATTGGATATTCAAATACTGATTTCTGTGTATGTGGTTGCAGTCACATGTTGGCCTTGTCATTTCTATGAAGCATCTCTGTCTAAATGTTGTGTGAAAATTGTTATCCATCACC